GCCGTCTGCTCGAGCACGGAGCTCCGTTTCAAGCTGCCATCTGACTCGAGCGCTGGCCACGCCCCCCCAGGAATGTTATTTTAAGCTGTGACTACCAAGTCCAGTCTAATGTGCCGTTATAATGACACGAGGAAAAAAAAAAAAAAACGAGAGAGGGGAGAGCTCAGTGTAGGCGTCACCAATCTGCTGGTGTTCACGAGCATTCCACAGAACAAACAGAAGGCAGGAAAGTGGCTTGTAGTCCGCAATATTCCGGTCTAAATTAGATGTATGATGCTGCCCTATATCATGGCAAGGATGGATCAAGAAATATATGCTTGGCTTTACAATTCTCTGCTGTTTCAACTGTAAAAGATGAACATTTGTAGTGTGCCAGATACAAACAGCTGTCTGTTCTCAGCAGGAAATCTACTGGTTGGAGGAGTTGTGTTGTGTGATCAGCTGTTGGAGCACATGGAGTAACTGGAGATGGCCACAGGGCTCAGAGCTCAGATGAAGTCACAAACCAGCTGAAGCCAAAAAGGGGCCAATACAGAAAAAGTATGCCAACAAAAACATTCTTGCTGGCCACAGAAACCATTTAAACAACCAATTACAATACTTGTTTTATCTTCAGATTTGCGTCGTTGAAATTGATTTTAATACCCGAGCCCCAAAGCCACTAAAGTCAGACCATTTCCAAGCCAAATCTGCGTTACTCCAACAATGAACCCGACGTGAAGGTGGTGCAGCATGCCCCCAGAGTCTGCAAACACAAGCCACCTGCAGTAGGCAAATGCTAACATTCCTGTATGGCAGAGCAGTATCACATCATTGTCAGGTCACTATCTGCATAGAGTTTGCATGTTCCCCCTGTGCTTGCATAGGTTTCCTCTCACACTCCAAAGACATGCTGGAAGGTGAATTGGCTCCTGACTAAATTGTCCCTGTTTGTATGATCTTTCACATTTTTTATATTTTATAAAATTGTATTTTTTTTAATTGTAATTTGTTACTTTTAGGGGCTTTGGGGAAATATTGGGGGTCTAAACAGATATTTTCCTATTAAAGAGAAAAAGAGATTGAGGACTCTGTGCAGCCCCAGCTATCAATGAACAGGAATCCGCTATTGATAACATGAGGACATTGTGTGTTTACTATAACCACTTCCCATTCATAATTGAGAATATATTAACCATACTATGTCCTCAATTATGTACAATACACTCAGCAATCAATGAGTGTTTGTACCTGCTCTCCTTCCTGACACGCTGTCACAGGAGGCTGGGTGGGGCGGTGCGGCGAGGAGAGCTCAGCCTCCTGTGACAGCGCTGGCTGTCTCCGCCCCCACACTGCTCTGCCGCACTGTGACAGGAGGCTGAGCGGTGTGGGAGGAGAGATGCCGGGCGCTCGCACCGCTCTACTCCTGCAATGCTCGGCCGCCTGTGACAGTTTCTCTCCTCCCCGCTGGGACACAGAGCAGCGCCCAGTGGGGAGGAGAGAAATCACGGATGCACCGCTATATCGGCCAGAAAATGCCATTTTCGGCCGACATATCAGCACATCCCTAATAAAATAATCACTGCCACATCCCACAATGCAGAGGAGTCAGCTTATTCAGGAAATAGATGTTAAAGTGGTTTAAAAGGGTTCATTCACCTTTACCAGAGAACTATGGCCAAACGATTTTTTGGCTACAGTTCTCATTTGGATCACAGGAGAACATTTACAAATGTCCTCCTGTGACCCAAAACTCAGCATACAGCGGGCTAATGGCGCTAACATTTTTCATCGTCTACACTAAAGAAAGTGACTTTGTAGCTTCCATAAATCACTTGTGTGTCGTGACCCTTAAAACATTTATTCTGCACATAAAATGACAATGTTTTACTTTTCCTGAGCCTCAGGCCATATAAACCACCACAAAAGAATTTTACATACCCATCCTGATCAGATGATTATTCGGCAGGAGAACGAATACAACTGTCTGCAAAATGAAAGGGAATCCTATTAGAATACACGGGTATGCAGTTACTTTCTTATCACACATTAGGACAGACAATCACAATACCACGTTGGGGTGTGAAAGCAGCTTTATGTTTACTATCCCATCTCCTGCAAACAATCTTCTTATAGGTTAACCACACAAATATAGTAAAGTTAAAGCGCTGTGCTCGGATCCTGATGATTAAGTAAAAACAACTAGGGGTGCTGCCCCACTTCAGCCGGGAGAAACTGTAAAACTGGACTAGGTTGGGCGCCCTTCTGTCCTTTTTTTGTATTCCAGGTTAATCACACACTTCAGAAAGGTTAATTGTGCCTGAGCAGCACCCCAAAAGCAGAACTCTGGGCAAATCAAATCGTATCCCTTGCAGTGGGGCTACCCCTGCACTACAAGGGTTAAGTGCTTGTTTTGTCTAAGGAGCTAAAATAACAAAGATTTACCCACCCAAACCACGATCCTGGCTTACTCTTAGACGGGTCCCATCAGCCTCGCTCCCTCTCTGCTCCAGTGATGGAAAGTCCTTTGCCATCTTCACACCCAATAAACTGTATAGAACGTGATGACTCAAGGGACCTTAGACCGATGTAAGCCAGGATCGAGGATCAGGTGAGTAAAGCTCCCTAGACAAAACAAGCACTTAACCCTTGCAGTGTGGGGGTAATGGCCCGCTGCCGTGATGGACTGCAATCTCAATACAAATAAGTAAAATAAAAGTGAGATTTTATTCCATCATGGGAGTGAGCTTGGAGAGGTGGCTACTTCACAACACACAGGGACCATGGGGAACAAAACCCTCCAGAAGGAAGGACAGTGTCAGCACCAATTCAGAGATGATTTGAGGATCTACGGCCGAGTGATACACAAATAAGATACATTTCTGTTAATAGTTTGGGGACTTGAATAGATTTTTAAGATTCAAATCCTGAGTTATGTGTCACTTTAAGAGGACAATACACAGATAGAATTTTGGCCACTTCCTATGAATCAGTCTAATTCTAACTGTGAGGGGGTCAAGCAGGAAATTGCCAGCCAATCAGTCATTGTATTCTAACAGCAATGGGAGCCAATGGCTGTCTGAACACAACAACAGATTCCTCCATTTAATCTGATTAGAGTGGACGTGGAAATTAGTGTTTTGTTTTTTTTTGTTCCACCTGCGAGTTGATTGAAGATAACGCTACGTGTATGTGGCCAGCGTAGGCTCACCACACACATTACTATCTGACCCGACAACCAACGTTATATCTACCAAATCTATGTAATATGAGGACCAAGCTAAAGAATTGATTTGATTGGTGTCCAATCATGTAATATATATATATGTTGGTAGATTATTATTATTGGTAGATCTACAATACATTGCACATAGTGGAGAGCATTCCTGATTGGATAGATTAGATGAGTCCACATATTACATGGTTTTGGCATTTCTAAAGTTCATTGTACAAAGACTTTATGGGCATCACTGTGATGTGTATGGTTACCATTAAGCTCACCATATACCTTACAATCTGATTATTCCTTCAGATCGGCTACACCTATGTAGTACAAGGCCCCACTGATTGTACATAGATGGATTGGATAGGTTAGCTAGGACCTCATATTACATTAGCTTTGGGAAATCTAAAGTTAGGGACAAATTGTAATGTGTATTCCTAAACTTACAAAGATCTTTCGTTCTAACAATCTATCAGAAGCTAATCGTGATTGTACGATCTCTTCTACCCCCGCCAACAATGATATATTAACTGGGCCAAAGAACACAACATGAAACCCTCCTGACACACAGCACAGTAGCCATTCCCCTACCCCTCCATGCGGTCATAGCGTGTCCCCGGCATGTCCCCTACCCCCCATTATATGTGTATAGGGCACAGCTATCCTCACCCGGCCGCACTGCCCGATCTTCCTCCAGCGGCCTGATCGCTCCCCTTAGCGACAGCAGCAACAATCACTTCCGGAAGGTCACGCCCAGGCAAGAAACAGGAAATTACGTTATATTCGGGCGCCTAGCTGCAGAGTCGCGGCCGCCGCCATTTTGTTGAAGACAATGGGCCACCTACCTTGCTGGGAGTTGTAGTTCTCTGGCTACCCATCTGCTTAAGCGAATGTTGTGTGTCCTGGTCACACTAAACACAGAATCACACGCTGTACAATTTATATATTGTATAATGCTCCACCTCTGTGATTAATAAAGTAGTATTCATTGTAGTCAGTTCATATTCACAGATATCACAACCTGCAAAACCTTATTTCAGGGAGGTGCCTTTCTCATTTCAGGGAGGTGCCCTTTTTTAAAATTTTGACAGCAGCCACCATAAAAAAAAAAAAAAAAACAGGAGTGGGCAGGTGCAATAGCCAGCCTGCTATTGCTAGTTGAAATAGCCAATAGCAGCTTAGCTATTCATTCCCATGCTATCTGTTTTTTTTTTACTCCGACGGGTCGGCGGCAGCTGTGAAAATAATAATAAAAAAAACAGATAACGGGGAGTAGAACCACCAGGTATCCCAGATAGGTTTACTGTGCTAGAAAGAGCACAGTAAACCTTTCTGGGATACAATGTTTCTCTTGCGGGCGTTAGGGAGCCGCTATCTTATAGTGTGAGACTCCTGGAATGTCCGGGAGAGTAGGGATGTCTGCATTCACATTCACTAGACGTGAACAAGATAACTGAAACATCTGGGGTGTGGAATTCCTATCGCCCGATGCCCGGGGCATGCAGTTCCGGGTGCAGAGCGGGTCGTTTTTTCGACATTTCGCCCCACTACGTACAAGCAGGGAGGACGCCACTCGTTTAGTACAAGTAATAAGCCTGCAGGTCTGTCCCCCCTCACCGCCCCCCTACCTCCATGGTCTGCTCCCAATGCCGGCTGTCACTCTTCTCGTCGGCTGCCTCTCTCCCAGCTGGCCACCTCCCTCTCTGCCGTGGTTTTCAGGGTCCCCCAGAAGACCACGGCAAAGTAGTTCAGGATGGAGAGCGGAGAACGGACGTTCTCCCCTCTGCTCCGTGTGAACACAGACAGGAATGCTGCACTTGCTGCCTTCCCATCTCGGCTGTCACAGCAGAGCCAGCACAGTGCTCTGCTCAAACTCCTGTATTGGAGGTGACAGGCTCAATAAAGAGAACCTGTCACCTCCAAATGCTATCACACAGGTTCTTGTTAGCTCCTGTGTCCTAGCAAAAAAGTTAAGCAAAAATAAATAAATCAATAAAAATTAATCAAAAGTAAAAAAAAGAAGTAAAAAATAAGAAATAGTAATTAAAATTAAAAAGTGATAAAAAAGTAAAAAATTATAAAATAAAACAATTATAAAAGAGTAAAACATTTAGAAATTTTAAAAAATTGCTAAAAATTAAAAAATAAAAGTGATAAAAAAAGTTAAAAAAATTAAAGAAAAAAAAAACAACAACCAACCTTGCTGCCCCCGCCATGTGGATGAGAATAAATACATGCGTAGGGCATTGTGTGTGTTGAGTGCTGCCCCTATTCCCATGTGTGCCATACTGTGGTAGCCAGTAGCCCAAACAATTTGGGGAAATAGAATTATCTGCTCAAATCTGCCCTCCATATACTTTCCTTTTGGCGAACAGTCCTTCCCCTCCGCTGATACGACTGTACCCCATACTGCCGTCCAGCGCCTTCCTGCATCATGAACTTTGAATTTTACTCGCAAGTTGGGAACACTCGTTAGTCAGCGCGGTCACCTGACTGCACTGACCAATGAGAAGTGCTTCTTAGGATAGTTGAAAACGGTTTTGTTATTTGTTGTATCAGGACAAGTAGATTCGGCCCCGGCTGTAGTCCTGGGACAAGTAGTTTTTTTTAAAATGTCCACAACCCTGAACATTGTATAATGTTTCACATGCTAGAGTAATTTTTCATATATTTTTGAATGCTGCAACTGTCATTAACAAAACAAAGTTGTGACAATGCTATGGATCGTTCAGCATTTCCTGCTAAAGGGTCTCTGTCTCCAAAATGTGCTCCTGCATAGTCACCTAGTCACAGGGGCTTCCGACAGAGACTAAGGGGATCATTTATAAGTCATCCCAACCTTGTCCTCCATATGCTGGCTGAATTTTGTTTGTATTGCATTCCTGCCACTAAATGGAGTCGGCTCCACCTAGTGGTGGGAATGCCATGCGAACAGCATTTGTCCAGCGTATGGCTGCGTGGATGACATGGCCCACTGTTGTCAGCATTAGGAAGCTAGCCCTGAGAAATGCCAAACAGCCTTCGCTGGAGTCAGTACACAGGAAGTGACTGCTGGAGGTCAAAGTTTGAGAAAATGGTGAAAACGTATTTTATAAAAGAAAAAAATAAGACAATTGTCTAAGATACATAGCGCACTACCAAAGTAAATGTCAATTAGGCCGATCTTAAAAATGCATTCAAGTAACTTCACTATTAACAGAAATGTATCTTATTTGTGTATTTCTCAGCTGTAGATCCTCCAATCATCTCTGAATTGGTGCTGACACTGTCCTTCCTTCTGGAGGGTGGCTACTTTTGTTCCCCATGATCCCTGTGTGTGTTGTGAAGTAATCGATAATACAAAAACCTAAGTTAGGTACCTGGTAACTTATTTTCCAGG